TCCTTGCACCAAACGTGGTTTTTGTCACTGTAGAGAAATCTAGGCATCGTTCTTCCCGCGCAAGAAGAACGGTGCATGAAACTGCTCTTCGCAGCACCAATTTGGTACAAGCTAAAAATTTGATCCTAGTTTTCCCGAGCCTATCTACTACACAAGTAGTAGAGTCTACGGTAACTCAATGAAGAATGGGTATCGAAACTGTTGTCTCCCTCTATTGTGTAGCAAGTCCTGGTGCTGCACGAAGTAATTAGAAATCTTTAAATCTTCTCAGATTGTGAGCATAGTGAGTTGTTAGTATTGTTTCACTTTATTGCAGTCTTTATGCGGTTTCATCTAGAAACAGTTGAAAATATCAATAGATGTAGGTTACGGGATATCCTGCAGATTCTAATTGACTTTCTCTAGAAATCTTAATAGTAGCTAGTAAGTCTATTGCCCGTTTGCTCACTTTCCAATTATGCACCACCTTGTCTGCAACCCAAGCGACGCCACTGTTGAAGTATTATTTTTATGCCGACAATTCCCAAATGTATGTTAAAGGCACCAATCAAGATCTGCCAAACATGATTTCTATCACTAAACAGTGCTTTTATGAAATTAAAAAGTGGATGGCAGTAAACAAATAATTGAAACTAAGCGAAGAAAAGACATCATTCTTATAAATAATCCACGTTTATATAAAGATCTGGAAAGTGTCAACATTGATGTATATGGGTATAATTATGACATCTAGTAAAGAAGTTGTCAAGAATCTCGGTGTATATATTGACCACCACTTATCAATGGGTTCGTTTGTAGGATCTCTGTCCAAATCCCTTTATTTTCAGCTGTGAAGGATAGGCCTAGTTCGGAAGTACTTAAATGAAGAGACCACAAAAACACTGGTAACATCTCTTATCCTATCTAGATTAGACTATTGCAACTCACTCCTAGCATGAAATCAGGGAAATCAGGATCTCGTCAAAACGATGAAACCAGGATCTCGACGAAACGATGAAATCAGGATCTCGACAAAACGGTGAAATCAGGATCTCGACAAAACGATGAAATCAGGACTTCGACAAAACAATGAAATCAGGATCTCGACAAAACGATGAAATCAGGATCTCGACAAAACTATGAAATCAGGATCTCGACAAAACGATGAAATTAGGATCTCGACGAAACGATGAAATCAGGATCTCGACAAAACGATGAAATCAGGATCTCGACAAAACTATGAAATCAGGATCTCGACAAAACGATGAAATTAGGATCTCGACGAAACGATGAAATCAGGATCTCGACAAAACGATGAAATCAGGATCTCGACAAAACAATGACATCGAAGAAACCACACTATTTCCACCCTTTGGGCAATTTTTGTAATGTTTTTGTGTGTTTTGGTTCAACACTTTTAGGTCCATTAAAAAGACCTTCAACCCCCCC